GGGGTGAGGGAAATGTCCAGTTTTTCACCCTGTTGTCTTGGTACGAGGGAGAAGCGCCACGTATACACACTGGGGCGTCTGTACCCCAGGGGCATCGACGTAGCCATAGCCTGTTGGTTCGGTGTGAATGCCAGGAACTCTGTCCAGGCACCCACGTCCCCCGCCTTGCCCTTCTGCAGAGCTGGGCACTGTCTGCTCGCCCGCTTCCCCCGCCCGTGGGCTGGCACCGCCCCGTAGGGCTGTTGGGTGGGCAGCTGCCCACTGTGGTCCTGGGTATCTCCATGGGCTTACTCCCCTCTGGGTGCCCAGTGCTGCCAGGGCTCCCGGGCCTGCACAGCTCGTCGGGAACATTCACTTTTACGTACTCAGGTCCATTGTGAAAACACCCGCAGTGCTGTTTAAGGCACAAAAGCTTGTTTATAGGTGGCCTTTATTTTCATATAACTAATTTAAATCAGGGTTATTTCAGAGTCTAGCACTAGCAGGTGGGTTTCAGTCTAGTGGGTCTACTTTGAACCTTTAGGCCCCACGACTTAGAAGCAGGGCAGCACTGACCACCAGAACCAGGAGGACAGTGCAGTGGCCTACACTGGGGCCCCTGTCCCGTGAAAATGATCAGAGCACAGCTCTTTGGAAGTGTGGCGCTGGACGCCAGAGAGCAAACCACCCCCTGCCCTCCACCATGCAGCCTCTGCTGGGCCATGCCAGCTGAATGTGGCTAGAGCAGCCATGGCCGGTGGGGGCCAGCTGTGGGGCCAAGCTCTGGGCATGGGCAACGGGAGAGGAGGGCCTTGTTCTGGAAGGGACCCGTGCCCTGCGGGGGCTTTTGAGTGCAATTCAGCTTCCTTACCATGGCCTGTGGGGCCGTGTGGTCATGGCCTGTGGGGCCGTGTGTCACGCCCCGCCCCCTTTCTCCGCGTAGTCTCCTGCTGTCTTGCCCACAGCCCTTGTCTGCTGTCTGGAAGGCGCTGCCCCAGGATCTCCGCCTGGCTGACTACTTCTCATTCTGTGGCCTCGGCCAGGTGCCCGCTCCCCTCCTCTCCACGGCTGAACGCACGGCAGAGTAGGGCTGTGCACCTCGCCGGGACTTCGCCCCCTCCCCGCTCTGGGTGTATACGGGCTGCTCGGTGAGCGGTCGGCTGGCTTCTGACAGGAGTCGGCTCTGCCAGCAACCTCCCGGGCACTCCCCCCGCAGAAGGCATGTGCAGTCCATGCGCAGCCGTGTCCTCCTTAGTGGGCGAATGCGGCCACTGTCATCTCATCCTCAATGGGGGTGCCTGGAGCCCTTGGTCATAGGAGAATAATGGACTAGACATGGTCTTTCTGAAGCAGGGCTGTACGTTTCCACGCTGGACTCATTCAGACCGTGCCTGCTCTTCGAGACCTCCCTCTCCCTGGCTCCTGGGGGCAGAAGTGTAGTTTCCTGGGGTTCCAGAAGGTTCCTGGCTCCTAGATTTTCTCGAATCTTTGGGGACCGGCCCCAGTGCCAATGTTCCTGTTTCTGTGGGTCCCCCTCGGCCAGCCGCCATGCTGGGTGGCTGTTTACTGCACACCCCTCCCTCCGTGATGACCAGCGCCCAGCTGTGCTCAGCCCCTGGGCCTGTCAGCTGCCCTGCCTCTCACTAGGACTGCTGCGCCTGCCCCTCTCAGAGCTGGGTGTCTGCGTAGAGGCTTTTTGGGGCCAGAACATCAGGAAATTGATTTAATTTCAATTCCGAAGAATGAATGCAAGAAGAGAGGCAAGTAAGCTTTGCAGAGGCAGGGCCTGTGGCTTAGCCCGCTGGCAGGCAGCCTTTGGAGACCGAGGCTGAGGCTTGTCTGCTGCTGTGTTTAGAAGTGGCCTCCAGAAGAAGTAAGTAACGAGGCCGGGTGGTCTCTGCGCCGGGTGGTCTCTGCGCCGGGTGGTCTCTGCGCCGGGTGGTCTCTGCGCTGGGCGCCCCGAGGGTGTGTGCAATGATTCGCTGCCAGTCGTGGGCCGTCCAGGGCATGTGCGCCCTGTTGTGTTGGTGAGAAGTGGTGTGTGCGCCTGTCCAGAGGCACGTCAGCAGTAGCTCCACTCTGGGCTACAGGGAGAAGCCCTTTCCCTCAGTCACCTCTGCACCCACCCACCATTTGCCTTGCTATTGGGAGCATTTTCTTTTAAATCCAACAGTACAAACAAGGGCCCTCCCCATGGCACAGCAGGGTAAAGCCCAGCACTACGAAGCTGCCGCTGCTGCTTCAGCACAAGTTCAGTTCCCAGTCCCGGAGCTGACCCACAGGGTGGGCGCAGCAGACCTCTCCTGACCTGCCACTGCTCCCCTCAGCAGTGCGCTTCGTCTGTCAGCCTGTTCTGCTCCCCGCTCTGTCTCTGGGGAATCCTCTCACCGCCCCTACACTGCTGGCCCTTACCCCAGTTCTGTGCACATAAATACATAAATCTTTAAAAAAAAAATTCCAAGCAAGAGAGACCAGAACCTGTACAGAGATGTTGGTAGCAGCTCTCATGGAGCCCCTCACCAAGGCTGGGCAGAGCCCGGAGGCAGCAGGTGAGGGCGGGTTTGGCCTCCGAGGGGCTGCGCCAAGGAGCTGCTTTTCTCCTGGGGTTAAACATTACACGTCCCTTCACGGGCAGCCTGCAAGCAAGGGAATCACAGCGCTGGAGCTTGGGGAGACTTGACGGCAGCCCAGGGCGCTTGTGTTGCAGTCATAAGGGTCCCGGCCGGCCCACACCGAAAAGGCCCGGGACAGAATTCTTGTCTCGTCCATGCCTGGCTCCTGGTTGTGGATGTTGCTTAGTTTTGAGAATGCTACTACTGTGGGATAATTGGGTAAAGCAAAAATGAATCTTACCTCAAGTTCTGTGCCCAAACTGAAATGGGAACAGCCCCGCACGAGCACGCAGACGCTGCAGGGCGAGGAGGCCTTCGTGCAAGCACATCAAGGAGCGTCAGCCTTCCTGCAGCTTCAGGCCTTTTCTTTCCCTCCCTGCCCAGCGCCTCTGGCCTGTGTTGGAGCAAGAACTGCTTTCCTCCCGGAGGGGAGGGACGGCCCCGGGTGCACGCGCTGTCTGGAGGGAAGGCAGGGAAAGCGCAGCCGGCGCTCCAAGCCTGGCTGCCTGGGGCCCTTGGACCCTGGTGTGGTGAGGCCGCTCCAAACCTGGGGCTTCCGGGAAGATGGCCTCTGCTCACCCAGGCCGTGTGATGCTATGGCAGGATGTCCGCCGGGCCGGCGGTCACCGGGGTCTGGTGAGTGACCCCTCGAGGGGCTCTCCTGGAGAGCTGCCTGAGCAGCGGGGGTGTGGAAGGGTGCTTCTCGTGTCCAGGACACATTTATGAGATGCCGACGCTGCTTCCGGAGAGATTTTGCCAGCAGGTTTTCTGAGGTCTTCTGGAAGGCTTTCGCTTACACTCACACTGGCGCGAGCCAGTGCCCGTGTGCTCTGGGGGCAGACTCAGGCTCCTGTTCTCGGCCACGCCCCACTTCTGTTCGTGGACCGCATAACCGTTTGAAGGACTGTGTGAGTTGATGAAGCTGAGTAAATATCTGGTCCTGAAACAAGAGTTTGTGGGGAGCTTTAAAAAGGAATGCTGAGGTGGAGCTCCTAGAGGTTCTGTGCACTCTGATGTGGAGGAGAGAACCCCCCTCCCCCAGCCCCGACAGATTCTGCTGCAGAGCCATGCAGACATGGCGGGGATCCACAGGCTTGGACGAGAAGGTGACTCGGGAGTTCAGAGTGGGGTCCTCGCGCTGTGACGATTGCCAGAACCAGTGCCAACACTTCTCAGCTGTCCTTATGTGTTTGGGATTGCCGATTAAGGACAGGATATGCAGAAAGATGCCGGTGTTCTAACTTAGCCTTGGTAGCCTCTCTCTTTACATGGGCTCGGTGTCAGGGGAGAGGAGGAGAGAGGACCCAGCCGAAGTCCTGAGGTGCTGACTTGGAATTCGGGGCTCAATAGTTCGGTGGTGCTGGGACAGGGCATGCGGGTAGAGCTCTGGGGACTGAGTTGGCCCGTGTTCTTTGTTGGGGTCCCTGGGCTTTGTTCCTCTTGCCCACTGAGTTCTGCTCACTAGGTTGTAGTCACTGGTTGGAAGCATGGAGGAGGAATCCGAGGCCCGGCTGGGCTTTGTGGCGGGGGCACCGCCGAGCGGCGGCCTGTGGGCTCTTGGGTGGAGGGCTGTGGGGCTCGTGGTGGTGGGTGCTGCCCCTCCTCACCCCTCACCCCCAGGCCTTTCCAGAGAGGTTTATGAAATCGTTGTGAAGTAATAGGAAATGTCAGAGGCAATGAGTGGGAGTCATTACGCCTCCCTGGTAAACTCATCCAGGAGTGAGATGCGGACGTCACTGCCGTGGAGACTGCCACTGCTCTTGGGCTTGGGTTCTTTGCGCTGACATCACAGATGGAGGTCAGTGGTCTCCGAGAAGCCAAACACAGGCATAGTCCTCAGGAAGAGGAAGAAATTCAGCCTTGTAACTGGCCAGGTGGCCTTTTGTGTTTGTAGAGTCACTCTTTCAAGGCGGTGTCACATCTTGCTGTGTGCGCTTTATGTATATAAGTCACGTCTCTGACACTACAAGATTGTACTTGAAGGGCCTGCGAACCAGAGTGATGCCAGCAGCCTGTCTTTCTGGGAGTAGTCGTGCAGTTGAGAATATTCTTTTCCCCTAGACGTGTGGCATATCAGAACCTTATTACGTTCTGTTTATTTGAGGCATTTCTTTTCACTGGTGTGTATGCTAGTCATGTTTGAGATGTTTAAATCAAAAAATTAGTGTTGGTGCTTCATGTTTGACCAAATGAGAACTCATGAGTCCAGGAAAATCAGGGGGACAGTTTAGCAAATCTAGTACCAAGTGTGTGTGTCTTGATGCGAAGACTGGCTCTTATGTTTTCTGGAAGCCTGGTACAGATTTCAGTGGGTATTCATTGGTATTGGGTGATGTCATCATTTTAATTCTGGTCCAGGGACGCACCAAGTCAATTAAATCTTTAATCCTTGCTGCTGAACCAACTCACTCGTGAGGAGCCTGTCGTACTGGATGCTCGGTCCCTTGGGCAGTAGACTCGGGCTGCCACCTCCTCTGCAAAGGCTCCACGGCTGGTGATTGGGAGCCGCATGGGGCCCGTCTTGGACCACGCTCTCATGTCCGTGGTGGACAAACGGGTGCTTTCTTGCCATCTCACTGCCTTGCGTGCCTACAAGAGGGAGGAATGTGGCGTGTATAGACAGGTGTGGGTTCGTGGGGGGAGGGTTGTGTGTATCAGGTGGAGAAATCATTCTGCTGCTTCTAAAAATCCTAGATTTCTTAGATTTCCAGCGTTTCACCTCCATAGAGGGAAATATATGTATTCTCATCCCAACATGCTCTTCTCTTATAACAAAGGTTAGGATGATCATAACCTTTATCTTAATTTTTAAAAAAATTACAGAACTTTGCATATATAGGTGCATTGAGAACCTTTTCTAAGAATTGCTGTGTAATATCCTACTGTTGAAATACACTTATTTCATGGTCTTACGAGGGTTTTCCCTAAATACTTATGATTTGATATATTTAAGGAGGATACATATTGGTGAAAGATTTCAAAGCACTCTTCCCCCCCCCCAATGTTTGAGAGTTGAGCAATAGCAAAAAATAATTTGCTTTCTACTCCCCTAAATATTGCTAGCGTGTGGCAATCAAGGGGCCAGTTTAAAAAGTGGGCATGTGTTTAAAGCTTTTTGACATGATTGTTGATTAATAAAAAAGCAATTTGAAGAGTACGAAGAATGGAAATGGTCTGCCTAAGTCTGTGGAGGTAATACCTGGTTCTTGGTTTCCCAGGATTTCTAAGATATGTGCAGCTGCTTAGGGTGGGGTATTGATACATATGTGTGTGTGTGGTGTCCTTGATAGTTGGGTTTTGGAGAATGGCTGGTGAGGGAAGGGAGAGTCGCTGTCCGTGGTGCTGAACTAGACCACGTCTCCCCCCCCCCCCATATAGTAGAAAGGTTCTGAAATGCCTGGTTATATGTGAATGTTTTCTCAAGCCAAATCTCCTCAATCATTTATGGTGACAAAGACATTTTATCAGCTTCTTGATTCTTTCTACATGCTTCATACATGCCAGTCTCCCCTGGGAACCCCCCCCCCCAGTTTGCATGTGATCCCTCCCTCAAGTTCCTCAAGTCCTGGCTTTTGATGGTTTTATGCTTTATGCAGCAATTGTGCTCTTTGTTTTGAAGCACTGACATGTGTCTGCAGAGAAAAGTTAAGAGGTATACTGATTTGTCATGCTTAGTAAAAAAAGTTTCCCTAAGATTGTTTCAGTGAATAGGTAAATAAATCTCAAAATAGATATCACTGTAAATGAAGTTGATTATTGTATGGTATAGTATGTATTCAAATTCCATTTAGCATTTAGAAAGCAAAAATTCATTGTTCAATGCTTTTTGGGATAGATTTGAGCACAATTAGAATGTATTAGTGACTGGTAGTTATCAAAAAATACAAATGTGGGCTTTCCTGGTGGCACAAGGGGTTAAGTCTCAGCACTATGAAGCTGTCAGTATCTACTGTAGCCTGAGTCTAGTCCCCTACACGGTGCAGGAGACCTCTCCTTTCTCTCCCGCTGCTCCCTACTTGGTCTCTGGTGAATACTCAGCCCTACCCCCATGTTATATGGCCTACACTCCAGTTCTTATATGCATAAAGTCTTAAAAATATCTGAAGGCATGGATAGCTTCAAACCTTGTACACAATTTGATTTTTAAATTGGAGTGAGAAATGAACAGCTAAATAGGAACAGTAACAATATACTCACTTTACTGTTTACATAATTAAAGTTAAGCAAATACGGTCTCTTTATGTATGTATGTAGTGTTTTAGCACCAGTGATTGAAGGATAACTGAAACTGGGAGGGAAACTGCGGAGCTGGGGGTGAGCGCTCACTGTAATCTAAGCCATAAGCCATGAAGGTAAAAACTGGAATTTCTTTGCTTTCTTTTAAAGCTGGAGATACAGATGATCCACCAAGAATTGCTCAAAACCCTGTTATCAACGGGAATGTAGCCATGAGCGATGGCCATAACAACACAGAGGAAGATATGGAGGATGGTGAGTGCAATGGCTGCTTCCCTACTTGGGCAGACAGCTTTCAGACCCAGACTGCCACCGTGCATGCTTCTGAACCCCTTAAGAGCAGCTAGTTTTCAGAAGGTTGCGTCTGAGGAAAACGTAGGTAGCTGTTTGATTTTGAACTTTAAGATTGCCCTCAGATTTCAAGGTAAGGTGATTGGCCCGGCTGCAGCCAGAAGGTAAATACGGAGCTGGTGGCGAGTGGGTGTTTCCTCAGGCCTACCCTTTGCAGCCACTGTTGGCTTCGGAGCCGGTCTACTGCCCCTTCGGGTTTGCAGCAGGACACGTTCGTCACCGGAGCTCGGCTTGCCATTGCGTCCTCTGGTGGGACATCACATCAGTTGTCTGAGCTGATGACTCCTCTTACTCCCCTTGGGTGTGAAAGTAATTCGACCTTTGGGCTTCTTTCTCCTCCACTGACTTTTGGTCTGTAGCTTCTATGTGGAAAAGTGTATGCACGGGCATTTTGTGCCTAGGGAATCACCTTCTTTGTAGGCTGTTTCTTCTTCCCAATAATTTCTCAGGTCACACGACCTGAGCTCTTACAAGGTCCAGACTGAAGTGTGAGACGGCAGTGTAGCGGCTGCAGCCACGTCATGTAGCCCTGGAGTCTTGCTGTGTAATATGAAACCGTGTTCTGTCAAAAGCATACCCATCCATCCTCACGAGGGTTGTGTCCTTCCCAGGGGAGTAACGGGGCAGTTGAAAGAGACCATCAGCCACGGGCTGCACCGCCAGAAGGACTGCTGTTCAGACCTCCTGCCAAAAGTGGAGCCTCCATGAGAAACTGCAGCCGTAGCTGAGAGTTTTCTCACAGTGCGGCTTTCCCCTGGCAGCTGGCTGAGGCAATATCTGAGGAAGGTAAAGAGGCGCGGTCTGAACCCCGCTGCTTCGTTACCTGTGGAGTGTACTGTCCACACAGACCCAGGGCCACTGTGGGTGTGGTCTCTGGTTGCTGGGCTCTTGGTTAAGTTTTAGGGGCCCGAGATGCCAAAAGTGACTCCGTGCAGTTGGGGAGGCGAAGCAGGTCTGAGATGCCAGGTGTGAGTTGGGCCTGTTGGACATGTTTGTGGGTCCACCCAACCTGACCACCCCCAGCTCTTTCTCGAGAAAGCTCCATGCTGATCTTCCCATGGAAGCTTTTAGGGCAAGGTCTCGGGGAGCGGTAGGTGTGCAGCAGCAACTCGCCCTGTCGCCACGGGGCTGTGGTGGCCCCCTCGCCCCAGCAACCAAGTATGTCTTAAGATGTTGCCACCTGTCTCATGGTGTGCAGGAAATAATCCCTCTCCTGTGAGCCACATTTTACTAAATTAGTCATAGAAAGTAGTGGTGCCCGATTGTAGAATCGGGTGGTGACCTCTTGGCTTGCCGGGGGAGGGGGCAGCTATGAGAAGCATGTGTGGCCCCCAGGAGTGTGTTCTTCCGCTTGGACATTGGGGGCCTTTTCTAAGGCCTGGAGCATGGCACTGTGGGAAAACCTTTCCCACTTGATGGCAAGGGCGGAGGGAGCAGCTCTGCTTCCAGGAACAGAGGTCTGAGAAGAGGGCAGCCTGTTCTGGGGTGCGGAGTGTCGCGCCCTCGGGGCTGAGAAGTGTGGGCCGCTGGCCCGGCCACACTGCGTGACTCGGGCATCGTGCAGCGTCACGCTGACGCCTGACACGTTCACTCCCCAGGGCTCTGGGCTTTAGGCTTCCCTTTACTGAACCTGCTTTTTAACAGCTTCAGCAGGCCGACACCGGGGAGCGCTGAGGTGGAGTTTCTGTGACGAGCTGCGCGGGCCCATTCATCAGGGACGTTTCCGTGCCGCGGTTCAGACAGCGACCTGGATCACGAAAGTGTCCAGGCGGGAGCTTAAAGACCTTGCATGTATAAAGAAATCTTTAAAAAAAAAAACAAAAGGAACCCAAGGAAAAAAATTCAACCAAAGTTTCCGAATTTAAAAAAAAACCCAAAAGTATCTTTTCTTCCTCTACTTTTTCATGCAAGGAAGGCCAGGCTGGCACACAGGCTTCTGTCGTGTGCACATAAGGCTGGCGTGCAAGTGGGCATGGTGGGGCCCAGCGCTGCTGCCCCTCTGGGCGTCAGAGTGCTGACAGAAGGTTGTGGTGGCTACAGTTGGCACAACCTCAGTCTCCTGTTCTTGAAGTAGAAAGATATGGGGCGCAATGAAATGAATGCTGGCTAATGACAGTGGCACCTGGCAGGGAGTCGCAGATAAAATTCTCGAGATGTGGTGTGGCCTTTGTGATTCTAGTTGCAGTACTTACTAGCAAAGCAATCTTTAAAAAAAATTTGACGTAACACAGAAATTTCAGAAATAACAGAAGACGCTGTGCGCTGTTTCTCGGGCAGAGAGAGACATGGATCAGGCTCATGCAGTTCTCACGGACGGTAGTCAGGGCGGCATTTTGGTGGCCTTTTTAATGATAGAAAAGCTGGGGGACAGGCTGTAGGTTGGGGGTGAGAGGATTCCACAGAGACGGAGTGGGGAGCAGAACAGGTGAATCCACTGACACACCGCTGAGGGGAGCAGTGGGGAGCCAGGAGAGGTTGGCTGCGCCCTGGGGTCCCTCCCTGGCTGGTGATCGCGCTCGTGCTACGGCGGTGCTGAGACTTTACCAGGAGGGCCTTTCGGTGTTGTGATGCAGCCTTTCCACCATTGAATTAGTGTGGAGAGTTCTGAGGCAGAGATCCACATTTTTAGTCCCATGAATCTCATGTTCGACCTCTTGATCAGCTTATTCTGGAAGGTGGTTTCTGGCGTGCTCACTGAGTGCCGGTGCCAGGCACACAGCACCTCTCGTCTCCAGGGCCTTCCCATCCAGACTGCCAGACTGAGTTCCACTGCTCTCTGGGCCCATTTTATGTTTAATGATTAATTGAGGAATTTGATGAAAGCGTGGGGGAATTTTATCACATCTTTTGTATGTATAAACATCTAATCCTGTGAAGAGCGTGGTCGTATCTGAAAGTGAAATGGGCCAGCTGTCAGAGACCGGGGCCTACCAGGCTTCACGGTGCATGGA